TCCCGGAGTTCACCAAGGCCGTGTCCAGCACCGCCGCCGAGCCGGCGCCCGGCGCGTCGGAGAAGAGCGACACCAGCTCGGCGTCGCTCAGGTCGCCCTGGCCCTGGCTGGTCAGCTCGCTGCTGGGTGTGAGGGAGTTGGCGGCTTCCAGCTGCGCCAGCAGGTCCTGGCCCAGGTGGTGCCTCTTGGCCATGTGGGTCTTCATGCTGTGCTTGGACGTGAAGAGCTTGTTGCACGCGGGCACCGGGCAGCGGCTCTTCCACGTGTCCACGTCCTGCAGGTGCTTCTTGGAGTGGATGTAGAGGCTGCTGCGCGCCGAGAAGCGGGCGCGGCAGCCTTCCACGGGGCACACGAAGGGCTTGGTGCCCAGGTGCGTGATGCTGTGGCCCTTGAGGTGCTCGGCCCTCGTGAACGACTTGCCGCAGCCCTCCACGGGGCACGTGAACCGCCGGTCGTCGTCGTGCTTCCTCTTGTGCCTCAGGAGTTTGGACATGCTGGTGAAGTTCCAGCCGCAGCCGTCGAAGTCGCACAGGAAGGGCCGCTCGCCCGTGTGGCTGCGCAGGTGGATCTTGAGGCGGCAAGCCTTGTCGTACTGCTTGCTGCAGCCGGGGAAGGAGCAGGAGAAGAGCTCCTGCTCGCGGAAGTGCGCGCGGTTGTGGGAGAAGAGGGCGCTGACGGTGATGAACGTCTTCTTGCAGCCGGAGAAGGCGCACTGGTAGGGCCGCTCGGGCTCGAAGTGGCTGCGCTGGTGGGCGCTGAGCTTGGCCTGCGTGGCGAAGCTCTCCTCGCACACCTCGCACTTGAACGAGTTCTCCTGCTCGTGGCCCTTCATGTGCGCCTTGAGGTTGTACACGGTGGTGAAGCTCTTGCCGCAGCCCTCGGCCGGGCAGCCGAACGGCCGCAGCTTGTCGTGCGACTGCAGGTGCCTCTTGAGCTTGTACGACGTGGTGAAGGTCCAGCCGCAGCCGCCCAGGGGGCACTTGAAGGGCCGCTGGCCCTGGCTGCTGCTGTGCGTCAGCAGGTGCACCTTCAGCTGGTGCTTCTTGGCGAAGGTCTGGCCGCACTGCGCCTCGGGGCACAGGTAGAGCACCACGCCCGGGCCCGGGCCCAGCGGCCCGCGG